TGCAACACCATTCTGCTGTGGACTGTAGGGGCAACTGCTCTGATGGACAACACCATATTCTAACAGATATGAGGCAAGATGTCTTTCAAAATACTCCCTGGCATTGTCAGATCTGAACACCTGTATTCTTGTTCCAAACTGTGTTAGTACCATCTGATGAAATTGCCTCATCAAGGATGGTACCTCATCGTGGGATCTCATCAGGTAAATCCAAGAGTATCGTGAGAAATCATCCACAAATAAGAGAAAATAGCGATAGCCTCCTATAGAAGGAACATGGTAAGGGCCCCACACATCTGATTGAATAACATCAAAAGAAGAAGAACATCTTTTATTACTAGGTTTAAACGAATGTCTACAATGCTTTCCAAGTTGACAACCTTCACACTCCAAACTTGACAAACTAACAGACTCAAAAAGTTTTGGAAACACAAAACTCAAAGAAGAAAACGGTAAATGACCCAAACGATTATGCCAAAGCATAATTTGACTCACAAACCCTGACTCACTATCCCTACTGACATGATGACTCTGATGAGAAGGAAGTACATCCAGGAGATAGATTCCATTCACTTCACAACCACTCCCAATCGTCCTCTTTGAATACAGATCCTGCAAAATACAACGACCAGGAGAAAAAATTACTGAGCAGTTCAGGTTTTTAGTCAAACTACTAGCATATAACAAATTCGTGCTCAATCTGGGAACATGAAGGACAAAGGGTAGAGAAATAGAATCACTAATCTTGACAGATCCCTTCCCAGCAATAGGAACATGGGATCCATCAGCTATGGAGACCCTACCTCTGCCAGAACAGAGCTGGTAAGTTGAAAAAAAATAGAGCTCTGGGTCATGTGCTCTGAGGCTCCATAATCTATAATCCAAGGAGGTTTCTCCTTACCTGAATTGGAAACATAATTTGCAGTGACGTGTGAACTACCTGTGTGATCAAAGGAAGTAGAGTGGACTCCACCAGTGCCACCTGTACCTTGTTGTCCGCTTGCGGCTGAACTGGAATTGGCTGTATCCCGCTAGTTTAGAAGTAACCCATACCTCTCAAGTTCGGCCCTTATTGCAACAGCTGCAATAGACTCCAGAGCAGCTATAGTAGGAGGGGTCGAAATGTCACCAGTAACTACCATGTGCGCATTTCCCTTCTTATTTTTCAATCTAGTCGGCACAAGATGTGGGTGAAGCTTCCAGCAAGTATCTCTTGTATGTTTAGGCTTCTTACAGTAGTCACAGATCAGATCTCTTTTATCTTCATTCTTGATGTCACTGCCACTTTGTTTAGGTCTCACAACACTTACCATGGCAGACTGATCAGAAATAAGGTTTTTCATCATCACATCTCTCCTGCACTCCTCCCCTGACACAAAGGCATATGCTTGGGAAAGAGTAACACTATCCCTGGAAAGAAGGTGTTGTCGTGCAATATCATACCCAGGATTAAGGCCAGCAAGGAGTTCAAACACCCTATACTTCTCTAAGTGTTTTTGATAGGTAGTTGCATCCTTAGTGGTTTCCCAAGCAAATGCCTCTAAATGGTCAATCTCCTGCCACAGGGTTTTAAGGACTGAAAAATAGGCTGCAACAGATCTATCTCCCTGCCTTGTAGCAATAATCTGATTTCTCAATTGATAAGCCCTAGCAACATT